ATATCATATGGCAACATTTGAATTGATTTTATCTTGAACAACATTATTTATAAAATTTCAATTAATTGTATTTAATTTTCCATATTAAGTTCCAAATTTTTAAGAAATCACTTTTATCCTTAAAATTTTAAGCTTAGTACGAAACAAACACGAAATTATTTTAACGAATTAAAAGGAATATTATAAACCACCATTTTCTAGTTAAAAGTATTCCTTAATTCTCTGAAAAAAATCATTCTATTTCCTTCAAAATTCATTCAAACTCTTAAATTAAATTTCCTATTGCAAATTTTGTTACATTATTTTTTCATCTTTGCCTTTGATGTTTTTTGACTCTATAATCCGGTTGACCCGTAAATTTAATTTAACCTTTTCTTAATTAAGTTGTGATAAAAGTCAATGAAAAGCAAAATCACTTTATTCTGTTAATTAAATGTGTTTTTCAACATCAAAGTAAAAATGAATAAATTTAAATTAAAAAAAGTCAAAAAAACAACGCATTTTAAAATTTAAGGAGCGCACAAAAACAAATATTTTACAAAAAGTGTTATACGAAATGTAGTTAAAAAAATTATAAAAATAATTAAAAAAATATTAATGTAAATTTTCAAATTATTACTTAAAAATTTTCTATTAATTAAGCAACCATTAAACTTAAATTATTTGTTTTTTTTTTTTTTTATTGGTATGAAAAGAAAACTTCCTTTTATTCGGAATAAAATACTTTTTATATTGTTGCTAATATATTTTGTGCGCTACATACGCACTTTATCAAAGCTGATTTTCTTCTAGTTAAGACAACAAACAATAAAAATTAAAATCTAATTATCTACCTGGCTTAATCTAGAATTTGATTATTTATTTATATTTTTTTTTTTTGTTATTAATTTCAAACTAAAATTATAGCTGTTTTAAACCTTAAAACTGGTCAAAAAATTAATTTAAAGAGCCAAGTAGCCGCGTTACCTTCGTCCGTGTTCAGTCCTTATTTGATTTGTATATCCGCATGCTTTCATGAACTTCTCTTCTGTGTTTTCCTTTTACCTCTTTAAACACCTTTAAGTTATCTAACACCGTTAAGTTAAGCACAAAAAATAAAAAAAAATAAAAAAAAACCCATATTGTATATGCAGTGACGTATGTAACACTAATTCTTGCTCAAAATCAAATTCAAAGTTGATTTAGCTATTTACCGTCCGTCGTCCGTGTGTTACTCGTACTAAACCGTAATGATATTTTTCAAGTAAAATTTTCCAAAATTAAATTCTATCGGAAAATTTAAAAATAAAAATTATTGAAAGTGTGACCATTTATCTCAAATGTTGCAATTTACCTCAATAGTGTACTTGTTATAATACTTTCAATGTGTAGTATTTTCTAATATCTACTAATAATCTTGCCATAATTTCCACGAGCACTATTCACAAATCTTATTATTTCTCTCAAACAATTGTTATATTTCGCTTATAGTCAGACGGAATAATAATCATTAATCCTTATCATATCAATACACATATACAAATTAATACATACATATATATGTATATACATTGACAATGTATTGAAAATCGAATTTCATTTCCTTACCTTTTTATTTTATTTCTTTTATAGTATTTTTTCTCAGTTTTCATCTTCCCTCTTTTTTTTTTTCTTGTTAAATTCATTATATAAATTCAATATAAAAATATACGAAAACACAATATCAAAAAAAAAAAAAGAAAACCGAAAAAAAAATTTAGTTTTAAAATAATAAAGAAAAGAGAAAAAAAAAATGTTGAAGATTTTTCATCATTGTTTTGTTAAAAGAAATGAACAAGCTTTGACAGTATCCTATATAGGAAAGGATGTAGGATATCATTAACAATGCTTTGTTGTTAAATTTGTACACTGAAAGCAGTATATTATCCTTTTATATGTATGTATTCATGTTTATTTATTATTATTTGTGCATTTGTGTATATATACAAATATTAATTTTTTTTTAAGTATGATGTGTAAAATTGATGTGGTTTTAAGGACGATACAAAAAGCACATTAATATTCAATAGAAATAATATGTGACAAAGGTAAAATATATTATGGGTATATATATATTGTTCAAGTGTTGGTCTTTAAGAGAAAAGGATATATTATTATTTTAATACATATATATATCCTTTGATTTTTTACGTTTATTTTTGTTTTGATTGTGTACTATAGATGCGAGAAATATATGCGAGAATTTTTTAATATTCTTTTATACTTAAAATAAAATTCATTCTTGGAATATTTCAAGTTTTGTTTGATATCTATTGAGTAAAGTATGTAAAAGTGAAAAAAATTAATATAATATAATAATAATCATAATAAAGGAAGAGAATGTCAATATTTAGAAGGGAATATTAAAATAAAAGAGAAAAAAAGCAAAGAGATTATTGAATAAAGCGTTCTTGAAAAATAAATATTCATATAGAGTTTATACGAGCAATAAAATTGTTAACAATTTTTTTTTTTTAAATTAGACTAAACACATAAAAAAGTGAATAGGTATACTCGTTTTCGAGTTACAGTCTGTTGAAAAAAAATGGTACCTTAAATAAATACTTATAACTTCGGAACCATGTGTCATAAATTAACCATTAAGAGCATATTTTACAGGCTTGATTGTTCTTTATTTTTAGTCTTACAATGAATTTGATTTGAACCATAGTTCTCGAGATAAAGCTTGTCAAATATGTATTTTTAGAAAGTTTGTAAAACAAATTTAAAATGTTTTACTGGCAAAAGCATGAGAAATGGGGGAAAATGTTATATTGGTTTCAGCTCATACTGTAGTTCATCGATAAAACAAAAAAAAAAACAAAGAAAAAATAACACCAAATTTTGGAAAACCTTCGAATTTTTTTGAAAAAATTTAAAAAAAAAATTCTGATTTTGACGAGCTTTATCTCGAAAACTGTGATTTTCGAATCAAATCAAATTTATTGTATAAGAATGAAAATAAAGAACAATCAATTACCTTTAAAACAAGCCCGCGTCTGTTACTTTAGGTCGAGTATTTCCGAAAATATAAGCGCAAACCTCTGATACTTTTTCGTTCAACAGCCTGTATCTCGAAATTGAGGATAATTGCCACCCACCCCCCCTTCCCCCATACAGTTTTTCACTGGAAATTTGTGAAAGAATCATCCCTGAAATGATCTTTCACTTTATGCGAGACACCTTGCATAATATTGCATTCATTACTAAATCATCCCGTATTTTCATTAACATTTTAACATTTCTAAACAATTATCTCCTTTTGTTAACATTACTGCATCACCCATATATTTCAGTTATAAATTCCAATTACAGCACTTGCATACATTCAGAATTTTATAAAATTATTTATGCACATAAATAAAATTATAATGCAGTTTAGTTCATTCTAGACTTAATAAAAATTTCAACTTTATTCAAAGACTAAATATAAAATAAGTGTTAGAAACTTTCCCCAATAATAAACTTTTAATTTGATTCATTAATAAAAAATTTTAAAATATGGAATTTTTGTATATATATTTAGAGCTCCTCAATTCATATAATAGAATTATTTACACAAATATGGAGGAAAATTTATCTAAAATTTTGTTTCTTTTAATATAATAAACTTTTAATATTAATATATATGGCAATACCTTTCAAATTATATTCTTATAATATCAAAGACCCCATTTCAAAAATTTTTATTTTAAATATTTCCCAATGGAATACTTTATTCTGAATATCCTTTTCCACATTCTCATTTCTTTAATATTAAAAATTTTTTTTTGGTTTCCTCTTCTCTAATATTCGGTTCTTTTGTTCACTGCTTTATTAAATTTTAAAATGTGAATATGAAATTGTTATCTCCCCTTCCTCCACATATGTTTATACACTTGAATATACTAAATTCCAATATCCATTTTTTCACTATTTACCATCCGTTTACTATATACATACTCCTTTTTAATTCAAGTATAAAAATCATATTTTTTATAAAAACTTCAAATCTTCTTGTTGAAGTTTTTCTTCACACATGTATACAAATACAGAAACTAGGAGACTTAATAAAAAATTCCGACAAGAAAAAAAAATTTTCCAAAAGACAATTTTACATTTTCATCCCTCGCTTATTTCAAATTAAGACATATGAAGCTTCTTCTATTCTCATATTATGAGAACAAAATTTATACCAAAACTCCTCACTCTACACAAGAATTCTCATAAGAAAATATTTTGATAGTGTAAGAAAACCGAAGGATGGAGTAACATTATACATTGTGTATGAGTAAAGTTTATTATGTAAATTGGTTACACATGCTTATTTAAAGACCAGTCTCATGTGCATAATATTGAAAAAGCACTGAAGTCTTCTTTCAAAAACAAAAATAACAAAATATGAATTTCCATTGCGAATTTCCTGTAAAGTTGAAAATATAAATATGAATGAAGTAATTTGTATATTTGCACACACACATAAGTACTGATTGTATCCTTGTAATAAAAATTCATATTTCCATTTTTTTTCCAATTTTTGTTCTGGCTTAATTCCTTTGGTTTGTTCATTTCAAGAAAATTGTAGTAAAATAAGATAGGTACGAAAAAAATAGGGGATGAAATGATTAAGAATAGGGGAAATAAACACGGGGTTTTACAAGACGAAATTCAGAAATTTAAGAGAAGTTTAAATTATTTGTTCACTTTAAGAAAAATTAAATACAAGGTTATTCACCCAAAATAGAGCGTTCCACGTTCTGCCTTATATTTTAGGTTAACAAACTTATCATTGATTATAATCTTAGATTTTTAATCAAACTCTAAGACTTCCTACAGTCAACTGAAGTTTTCGTGATCCATAAAACGGCACTGATGATTTAGTTCGACATAAGTTTTTAGTTAAATTTTGGAAAATTTAACAAAAAATCAATTCAAAAATTAAAATCTAATTTTATTTTTTCCAATAAACTCACTTTTATTTTCTAAATTTATTTTTTAAACAGCTTCAACCTGGTGATCAAATATTAGCTGTTAATGATGAAGATGTTAAAGAAGCACAACGTGATCATGTTATACAATTAGTTAGATCATGTGAAACTCAAGTTAAATTATTAGTATGTCAACCGGCGCGTACTATTGCAGGACCAGGTAGAAAATCAACATTATTATCAGCTGGTAAACGTGCAAAATTACGTACACGGCCTAGTAGAGTTAGATTTGCAGAAAGTGTTTGTGTTAACGGAGCACCATTATTTCCGGTAAGTACATAACCCTTACTATACTCGTCTACTTATATATTGTATACTACATAAGAATGTGTTATTATTCTATACTTTTATTAATAACTGGTATATACTATTTATAATTGTTATGTTGTTCAGTAAGGCATAAAATTTTCATTTTCGCGAAAGCAAAAATCTTGTTTTTTTTTGGTTTTTATTTTAGTTTTGTTAACAGAAGTGTAAAATTAATAGAAAAGGAAAAAAAAATCAAAATTTTATAAAATATTCTTGGTTATAAAATCATGGGAATTAAAACAAGTACTCATTAACTTGAATATTTTAATGAAAATTCTTCGGTTATTTTGTTAAAAAAAAATCCTGCAAGAAAAAAAATTTTTAAAAATAATTAAAATTTTATGTTTTGTTATACCTAATATAACACTTTTTGAGGTATAAGATAATTGTTTTTGGAGTTGTTATGTAGCTTAAGCAAATGCTAATCTAGCTCCAAACTACTATTAAGCTCGTGTAACAAAAATTCAAACATTGTATCCTTATACTCGTAGCTTCTGAGATATGATCAGAAATATTTCTTGAAATTTTATAATAATACAACCACATCCTGATATCAAGGCGTGTATTTAAAACTTAGTAACTCTAATAATATTAATTTCTGATAATTTAAATAAAATAGGGTCCGTACCGTAAGTTTTAGAAGAAATTCTTGAAATAAGAGAGTATACAAAACAGAAATATGCAGCTAAATCGGCTCAAATTTCAACGAAGATAAGAAATATAACACATATACGTTTAAAAGTCTTAGATTTTCGTCTTAGATATGTCAATTTTTTAGCGTCACAAACTAAATTGTAAAATTATAGTATCACAGCAACATATTTAAAAACGTATTGAACAAATATCGCGTAAGATATTTTCGGACTACAGGTTTTCTATTTAGAAGAAATGAATGTAAACGAAAAATTAAATTCGTCCCCTCTTCCATTCGTAAACGTTTTGTTGTTAAGAATCTTAATAAATTATAAAAAGAAAAAAACAATGTGATTATTATCATAAAAACAAATTTATAATTTCCACAACATTTACTATCATAACACTTCTAATTAATTACAACTGTTATAAGTTGCAAAAGTAGCACAATAACCTTAATACGAGTATCCGTACCATATTACAAAAAGAATAATATACTTTTCGTAATTATTATTTATTATTATTTTAATATGGCGATAATTTTAATTATTATTTAAATTATTTTCATATTTTTTATACTCTTTAATGGTAATTCAAATTTATATTATAATTATTTAATTTACTAAAAATTATAACCCACTTTCTACCACTTCTAACAATGTAGGTATACCTTAAAAGATTTTTAATTTCTTTTTTTTTTTAATTAGCTTTATAAACTTAAAAGTTCTTTCAACTTTTTATTTCACATATTGTGTATATACTAAATCGATTAAACGTTTATAACAATATATTATAACGTTCGAAGAGTGTACAAAAAGTGCCTTACCGTTCTCAACTTCAAAATAAAGGAGTTTCTGCCGGAGCCATTTCCAAAAATATTGAAGTCCTACCTCTCTGACAGAATATTCATTGTAAAATTTGAGGAAGAGTCCTCCATCTTTAAAAATTTGAGGGATGGTGTGCCTCAGAGAAGTGTGTTGGGACCTCTTTTGAAATGCTTTATACCAGAGATATCCCGCAAAGCGAAGAAACTTTCTTAGCAACTTTCGCAGACGATACGGCAATATTAGCGACCGGTAAAACTGTTGAAGAAGCTATGAATAAATTGACAGTCTCATTGAACGAAGTGTCTATTTGGACGAAAAAATTGAGGTTCAAACTCAGCGAAGCTAAATCAGTACACGTAAACTACACCAACACAAGCGATCCAATTGGTGTCTTTCTTAATGCGGCAACAATTCCGTACGCCAACGAAGCCAACCACCTTGATATGACACTGGATGCTAAATTAAAGTGGAAAGAGCATGTTAAAAAAAAGAAAAGTGAGCTGAACATTAAATTGAGAAACATTTATTGGCTTCTTGGAAGACATTCTGAGCTTAATACACAAAACAAACTACTGCTATACAATAAGGTTCTTAAGCCTGTGTGGACTTACGGTATATAGCTTTGGGGCTGCACTAAATAATCCAATTTTAAAATTATCCAAACTTTCCAAAACAAGGTCCTCCGAATCATTGTAAATATACCATGGTAAGCAAGTAATGATACTCTACATCGAGATCTAAACGTGTCAACAGTCAAAAATGAAACAAAGAAGTATGCAAACAATCATCAATCAAGATTACTCCAGCATGACAACCCCGAAATGCTGCAACTTTTGGATATTGATCAAGTATATAGACGACTAAAAAGGGTCAGACCGCTTGAACTCATCGGCTAGACAAAAAAAATGTACAGGGAATCGGTGGATGATACTCCCATAACCCCCATATTGAGCCAGAAAATTTGCTTGATAGGAATTAATTTCTTAGTTGCAATGTCATTTAAAATAAAAAAATTTTTCTTTCGAATAATAAAAAATTTTCTTTCGTATAACTTCGTGCAATATAGAGTAACCATCGCATCGGGAACTTGTTTTATATTGATTTGAGCCATAAACTTTGTTGCTGGAAACTGATCAAAGAACCATCCCTGAAATTATTTGCCACCTTATGCGAAAAACTCTGTATATTAATGCTTTTTAATTCTGTTCTTAATTTTCATAAGTACACCTTTGTATTAATTGTGTTATTAAACAAAATATTCACAAATATATACATACATAAATATTATGAAAATGACTTTTAAATATCATAGACTTTTAAGATTAAACTGAGTAGAAAAGAATTAAAGAATTAAAGAATATTATACAAAAGAAAAAAAACACAAAATCCTTTGATAAATTGTGATTTTTCGCGTATCCATATTATGAAAATGTGCTTGTCATTTATTAAATAATCATTATTATTATATTTAATATAAATTCTATACATTAGCACTTCATTCACTTAATTATAAATTTATTTTTTGATATTTAAATCATATTTAAAGAGAATTCTTTCTTTTGCAAGTCTTTTAAACTTTATAAAATTTAATTTTTTTCTTATTTGAAAAACGAAAGCGATTTCTTTAATTAAAATCATTATTATAGGTCATGAGACTTTCACCACTTTAATTATGATTTCACACCGATAACTAATAATGTATAAGAATTTTATTTTTCGCATTCATTTGTGTTTTAGGCCTTCCTTTTTTAGAAGAACATTTCACGTAAAAAAAAAAATTTTTTTTTTGTTTTAGAAAATTCACGAAAATTTAAAATAATTTTTAATTAGTGGGCTATACCCACCAGAATAACACCACAGGTATCATTAAATATTTAAATGACGTTATAAATTTTCTAATTAATAATTTTATTTTTTATGTAACATGGCGGGATGGTGTCCACTAGCATTTACCATATTTCTTAACTTAATTTTCTAATTTTTCGATTTAATGAACTTTATACAATATTCATAATTAGCATTTGTTCAAAAAAAAAGAATAATAATAATAAATTTTTTAATGGGTGTACAAAATATATATATATTACACACTTTAAAATATACCTAAATTTTCTTTCTCTGAAAAATTATGTGTATAGAAAAATATGTATTGGTTTTTGTTAATAAACACGACTACTCTATCTTAGAATACCAAGCAATTTATTATTTCTTAAATTGGGCTTGCCAATTTTACTCTAAATAATTACATAATATTTTCTTATTTAATTAAATAATTATAAAATTTTTTTATTCAAGTGTCTTGAGCTCACAAATTAAAATATTAAATCTAATAAAAGCATTATAATTACTTTTAATATTATTTTATGTCACAACGAAAACAGAAATTGCACATTAAAATGATCTTTTACCGACTTTAATATGCCATAAAGTCTTAAAATCTTCAAATGAACGACAAATTCGCTCAAAGTTCAGCAATTAACTTATTAATTCAAAAAGGCTATGCTTTATTTGCTTTTTTTCCATATAGCCATCTCCCCTGTAACACAGCAAGACACAGTCCAACGCTCTACCGACTAACAGGTTGCCCGAGCCTGTGGCGTTCTAAGAAATTTATTTCTCCCTTGGAAGTGAGGGGACGGACGCTGGCCATATCTGATCGTCTAGATTTGAGGCTATTGGTAGGTGTACTCATTGTACGTTGCCTCTCGATGATCCATCTGAAAAGGAAGGGCAGGTGGGTGGGGACGGCTTCTGTGGTCTATGCCTGGAGGTGGATGAAACGATGGAGCATTTTTTGTTAGAGCGCGAGGTGGTTGTTAACCTGTGACTAGGCTAATCCGGAGACGAGGGCTTTGTGTCCCTGGGGAGAATCTCACGGCTTGATGCGACTGCTATTCTGCGGTTTGTCAGGGCCCTAGGTATAGGGCCAATGTATGAAGAGCTTAAGAGCCTTGGTTTCCGAGAAAGAAAACTCAGTAAGAATTTACGGCACCTTTCAGTTAAGCCTCAGTTTCGTCCTACTGGAGAGTTAGTAAAAATTATTTAAGATCTTTTGCACAATTCAAAATTAGGTGAGTGAAGGAATTCAAGCTCGCACTAAGTGTACCTTTACAAGTGCCTTTAGTTCTTAAATTAAAATTTTTGTTTATAAATCCTCATTTTATACCAAATATTTTTTTCTATTAAAAATTTTTTGAAGTTCGAATACCCTACACAATATCATAATATTTTTATAACCATTTTTATATACCCATGAGATCAGAATGTATAAATCCCTTTCCCTATACATACATATAAAAACGGTTTGGAATTTTTATTAAGAAATTTAAATTATTCTTCAACTAGAATTTTTCATTTACATTTGTTAGATGAAAATAAAAGAGAAAAAAAAGTCCTCTAGAATTTTAGTCCTTTAGAGAGATCGCATTCTAGAAAACAGTACAAGAGAAAAAAAAATTTTTTTTTATTTTTTTAATTTTTTTATTAATCTTTTCCATTTTC